TCGAAGCACATCGCCTCCAGCCGTCCGTTCCCCAGCATCTTGATGACCTGCGCGTACTCCTGCCCATCCTCTTTGAACACCAGTTCTCTCTTCTCAGAGTCATTCTCATTCTTACCACGGCGTCTATTTTTGCCTCCTTTACCTTTATTCTTCGGCATGGCGGTTAAGATGGCCTCTCGGCTTCTCTAACTTCTTCCCGGGTGGTTGCGGCGCGACGTGGCGCGGCGTGGTGCGGTGCGGCGTGACGCAGCGCGGTGTGACGTGACGTGACGTGTGACTCTGAGGGGCGTGACGGGTGCCGCGAAGGGTCCGGCGAGACGGCCCAGCGCCGCAGGCCAAGCAGCGTTTGCGCAAGAGTCCGGAGACCTGGCTGTATAGAGATTCTCCCGCCTCCGCGCTAGGGAGCAGCCAATTGAAACCGCGCCCTACATACTGTGCCAAATTAATAGTTGAGTATATCTTGCCCGCAAAGAGTGAAAACGGAGAGCGACGGTCAGACCCGAGTGTTGTTCTGTTTCCTGTTTGGGACCAGGTCTTGAGGCTGCCCTTGACGTCACAATATGGGCACGCACCATCATGTCCGACTCACCCCAGACTTTTGATTATATGTAAGGTACAAAACTATTACACTGATGCCTTTATCCTAGCCTGAATAATTTTAACTGTATTGTTATTCTTAAATTCTGGGGCAGCTAACTTTTTAATAAATCCTGTTTGGAAATGATGCTTGCGTGAAAAATACTGTAAACATTTTTTTTTCTAATTTATACTATGTGTAGACTCAAAGATACAGCTATTTAATATATTTTATATTGGTTAGTTGGCATTTGAAATAAATGCTATTTAATATATTTTGTATTGGTTAGTTGGCATTTGAAATAAATGCATTTTTCTTTTTCAGTGGCCATCTGGCTTATTCTACTGAGCTATCTCCCCAGCCCTAGGGAGCCATCTGGAAGGAAAGTGCGATGACTATAGCACGGGGTCATATTGTCCTTGGCAGCTCCTTGTGACAAGGAGGCATGAAATAAATCTTACAAAGTTCTGGGTTGCTCTCCACTCCTGGAGTTACATTCCAGGGCCTGTCTCAAAGAATTGATCAAAACAAACAAACAAAACAGTGGTAAAGGTCATCTGAAAAAGTAAAAGTGGAGAGTGAGATACAGGCGCAGCACACTGCTTAGGCAGAGTGAAAAAGGACACAGGCAAGATGAAAGTAGGTGCTGCAGAAGCAGGGCGGGCTGTTAGGGCTGTTAAAGTGGCAAGCTTTTTTTTTTTTTTTTTTTTTTGGCACTGGGAATCAAACTCAGGGCCTTGCACTGCGAGGCAGGGCTTTGCCGCTGATCTGTATCCCCACCCCTAGCTCTTGTTGGCATGTCTCTTTT